ATGCAGATGATCTCAGTGCAGTACTCCAACGTCATTCTACATAAAACGTACGTTCGAAAATTGACTAATGCTTATTTGGTGTCACTAGCTTAGATTTTCTTGGCCACTACATCTACTCAACCGGCACTCCAGCATTTTCCGATCGCATTTGGCTTTAGAATCTTTTCCAAAACCCACCACTGTCACCCAACACCGTCACTTCATTGGTATCATCTATTATCGGCAGTTCATCCCCCGCAGTGCAGAAAGTTTACAGCCGATGACCAATTTACTTGACCCCGAAGAAAGATAGGTCACCCTGTCTCCCGCCGCCAGTGCCGCTTTCGAAAGAGCCAGGCAAGCCGTGGCTCACACCACACGATTATCTTTCCTCGATGCTCACGAAAACACAAAGCTTGATGCTTCGAACGCTGTTGCCGGAACCGTACTCCATGAAGTCACTAGCAGCATATTCCAACCAGTAGCCTTTTTCTCGCAGAAGATGCAGGCTCTACAAACGCTACGCGGTACTCTTAGTCGTAAATTACTCGCGCTTCAACATGCTACTCACCATTTCCGGCACTTATTAGAAGGTAGACTACTTACCATTCAAGCCGATCATAAGCCACTTACGTGTGTTTTCAGCGCTAAGCCTGATAGCTACTCACCACGCGAGATACGTCATCTGGACTACATTTTCTATGTACTACCGATATTCGGTACACCCCAGGATCAGACAATGTCTTCGTAGACGCCCTCTTCCGCCCAAACATTAAAGCTCTCCAATCTTCTACGCGGTTGGACCTTGCCAAGCTGGTGAACCTTCAGCATTGTGGTCATAATTTTACATCCATACTATCCTTCACTTCATTTCAAGTTTCTTCTATTCCTTTCTCCCTCCAGTCTGTCTACCGGCTCAAACATTCGTCCCCAAAGCCTCCGGACGAGTTCTTTTTGACCACCTTCATGAACTTTTTCATCCAGGAATCAAATAAGCAAGGAGGTTGGTTAGCACACGTTTCGAGTGACCCACGAATAAGAATCTAACATCCTGAACGATACAGTGCATCGCCCGTCGTCGCAGTAAAGTAACTCGGCATACAAACTCACGTATATGGTTCTATGCCGTGTATATAAGTGCATTACTATCTTCGAAAGCTATAAGTTGAAACTGTTCGGAAGAAGACCCCTGGACAACTGTGATTAGATTAGTGTTTATTCGCTGACCTGAGCCAACGACGAAATATTTTAAAGAGGACAATCCTTAATGAGTCTGCTCCATCTTATCTACTTACCGTTTCATACTGAAACTATTGTTATTACCTTTATTTCTTTGCCACACACCCCTGGTAAAGTAGCTTTTTGTGTAGCCAGAACACTACAGTGTCTACATGAAATTTCTTCTGGTTCAGTCATCCTAATGTGGCGCCCAATACACCTCGGTAGCTTGAGGTCGTTTTAAATGTTAGTAAAAGAAGGATCCTACAGGTGTAGTCGTGGAGACCAAAGAAATTTTCAGGGAGTAACCCTAGATGGGGCGGGAAGCACGGAGGTGAAAACTCTCGTTTCTGACTGGACCAAATCCTGACCAATCAGGACGTGCACGCTTTTGGTCGGCAGCCCGCCCGCCACATATCCGTCCGGTTGGCGTGATCGGGCTTTTCGGTCGGCGCTCCTTCGTGTACCTTCCGCTTGACAAGGCTATTCGTCCGAAGGCATCTAGTTTTTGGCTTGTGAGAGCTCATATGACTTATACCGTTTGTCGTTCCGTTCCCAGGACAGCGGGAATGTTGATCTGAGAAACACTTCAGTTAGCTTTTGTTATGCCCTGCAACCCGGAAGTATATCATGGTCGTCCAAATTTCCGATGATGTAAGAACTCTCGTTCCATTTTAAAGCCATATTCTTCTGCCTGACGTTGATCCGCTCCGTAGCCGCGCACCACTGCCTGACGTAGTGTTCGATTCAGCACATTCTGGGCCTCATTATACCGGTGTGGTTCATCTCATGCTGGCCCTCCTTTGCCTGTCTGAATATTATTGGTACCTACCTGACTGTAGGAATGCATTGAAGGACGGGAACCACGGTTATAGTGTTCCAGGCTTCCAGGTTTGAACCGAAGCAAGGCATTTGCGGTGTCGAGTATAATGGACATGAAAGCATTCTTGTCTCATGGATCTCCAGTTGGGGTTTAACCATCATGACTACGCAACTCTTAGAATGTAGTCTCTACTTGAATCGTTTTGTCGCAAACGGTATTGAGTGCTCATTTTGTTGAGTGCCCGACGGACATCTGTAACTGGGATCTACATACGAACGGAAGCAATAGGTGCCACAGGAGGGCAATTAAAAGTAGTCTTGATGGCAACTAGGAGTCATCAGTCGAATTCTTCCGCATATCTTCCACGCTAAATGCAATTAATAAGATCCCCCAGCTGATTTCATTACGCGATGGCCTACGTAACATGAAGCTTTGTCATGCTGTGAATTTCATATTCTTAAATGCTTTGCTATGGTGTCCATACATAGACTGGAGAACCAAAGGCTTTGATTCTTAAATTCAACCGCAAGACAGCGGCGGTATATCTAAGGTTAGCAAAACAGACGTACCAGTCCCAGTCGCTAACCTATGAGGTCAGGAGGCTGTTTGTCAATCTTCCGTCCGTTGAGAATCCTTGTGGGAAAAACATTGGATGTTGATTTGGTGCGAACAAACATAGCATAGTAGGTTGCTGAGGTTTGAAAACCGTCGCACCAATATACTGTCCAACATTTTCGACCACCGCTTTAGAACACCTTGAAATTATGACGCACCTACATTATATGTCATGTATCAGTATGTTTTGAAATGCGAGGGTTCATCCGAGCCACGGTATGGCATGGTGCTCATATCACCTAAAGCTGGCACCCTGACATGATGGTCAGGCTTGGTTGTTGCGATGATCCCTCGTGCCACACTGGCTAAAACTTCGTTCTCCAAGGTGAAGCCATGCCAGGAAGACCGAAGGGAGCATTTAGAACAAGAACAAGGCCCCATGCTACAAGTAATCGTATGTGTACGCTACGTTCTCCCGAGAAAAGACGGGTTAGACCGTGACAGCGGGCGCATAATAAAATACGGTTGAAACACTTGCAATGGAAGTTTGGCGCTGCTCTTAAGGCACCTGATGTACGCGGCCGCATCAGGAGTGCCACAGTAATATCTCACTCCCTTCGCTCCCGTGTTAGGCCAGCCTCTTGCAGCCGAGCACGTCAGACTATTTAGTCATGGACTCTTGGCAGGCTCCCCAAAGAAAACCCTACCTTCCGCTGTCTCGTGAGTCACACTTTTCATTCAGAGGCTAGGAACAAGCCTTCTCAACAAAACACTCCATCCTCCCACTAAGTTGAGCCTTTCGGTTAGGCCTAAGGTGGAGCACCTCAACTAAACCCCTTTCCTCAGCCTGGGCAACAGGGAAGTATCATTTACCCGCACAGTTCTTCGCCCATCGATGTCTCTCCTCAACCTCTTCCCACCGCACAAACGTCTCTGGGTCATTCGTTTGTCATTTATCTGAACGTCTGAGAGCATTCTAGCCAGGCACTGGAAAAGTGCTACAGCTGGACAAGCATTTTTTATCCGACCGATGTGCTTTATACACCCCACTGCCCACTAGCAATGCCACTCGAAGGAAGCACGAGGGCTGGGATACTGCCAAGTTGCCCAAGGCTAGACAGGAGAAGTCGAGAGACAGAAATCGAGTTCGAACTACGGGCCTTCCGGTCAGTAAATTCGCGTTCTAACCACTTGAACCATCTTTCCCCAATAATTAAAACAGCACCCTGCTAACTCCACATAAGTGCGTTCAGCGACTGTATCCGTGTTAAACTGGCAAACAGGCGATGCCCGCTGGAACCTCATATTCCTTTAAAATCGATGGTGTATGTTGTGTATCTGAAATACGCATACATATGCATTTCAAAACGACAAGGACAAACTCAGCTCTCTCACAGTTCTCCCTCCTTGTGTCAGGTATCCAAAAGCGATGTATGGGCATGTTTTGCTGATTTGGATTCCGGTGAAGTCTTCTTTGCGTCGTCCGGTTATTCAGCTCAGTCAGGCTCAATGCCCCGACATCAAAAGGTAACTTTGTAGTGTCGGCGCATTCAGCAACGGATGGTAGTGAAGAATTAGTGTCAACCCTGATGTGATGTTTTTCCTCAGACTACTCGGGAGGGGGGGCGAGATGGCTCGGTTGTTAGAGCGCGGATTTACTGACCGGAAGGTCCGTGGTTCGAACCTGATCTCTGCCTTCCAACTTCCCCTGTCTAGCACTGGGCAACTTGGCAGTGTCCCAGCCCTCGTACTTCCTTTTGGTGGCATGGCAGTTAGGCACCAAAAGGGTGCTGAACGATTTCTTTCAACACTGATGTTGCTGTTCTTGATGATGATGATCATGATCATGATCATGATTATGTAGTTCTGGCACTGACAAGGATACTTCCTATTGAGATTTGTTCGGGCTCGTTTGTCGAGCAAAAAGCACCGACACTGTAATTCTTGCGGGCGCTATGAATGCCCAAGTTGGTTGCTTGAGCTTGAAACCACATCTGGTTGGTCTATTCGGAATCGATGCTCGTTGCACCGACAACGGAGAGCGACTCATCCAGTTGTGTACTGATCAACGTTCTTCACCAGTACGAGCGTTCGCTTCGCGTAACCTGGCGACTAATAAGTGCAAACCAACAGCGGACCCATCCGAATCACGTGGCCATCAGCTAACGATGAAGAGCCATAATTAAAAACTGCCCTTCTTTCTGGGCACAGGACTTGATTCCAATTTCGTCATATTGTGAGTGCGCCTGACAGTTTGCTTTCCTTCAGATCCTCGCAAGTCAGCAAGAAGTATGCTGATTCACCATCTTTGAAGAACTGTCATAGTTCAATAGCATCGATCTTAGCTCGACTACTCTCTACAGTAAACCAACGCTGTGTTGGTACCGGGCGCGTGGATGAAACCTGGTGAAATGTGAAAGGAGATATGTCAGCGGTATTCAGTGCTGTGTTTTTCACTTCTCCAATGCGACCAAATAACCACTGGATATCGTCGAGATCGCTAGTCTTGATTGGTGCCAAGAAATCTATACCACCAGCAATGAGTCCAGCACCCTTCCGGTGCCTAACCGCTATGCTATCAGAAGGAAGCTCAAGGGCTGGGATACTATCAGGTTACCCAAGCCTAGGTATGTGAATTGGAGAGGCAGTGTCGGGTTCGAACCACGCACCCTCCAGTGAGTAAGTTCGCGTTCTAACCACTGATCCATCTCGCCTGAGCAACGAGTACGACGGCACACGCAGATCCCTTAAACACCACGTAGTGAAGAGCTTAAGGACAGACTAATTGTTTTGGTGGATGTTGAAAGTTCAAATGGAGAAGAAACAGCCGTACTATGGTCAGTGAAACGTGAGCGAAGAAACCCATCATAACCAGCTCCTCTAAAGCTCGCCTGCTTATCCATTGTCGTATATTAATGGTCACTGTAAGCAGATATCCAAAGTGCAACATATTGCGAAACATCCAACCCTCGGTACAACCCCGCCGACTTCTTCTGAGCGCTGGTTGAAAACTCATCATCCGACGCCGGGCGAAACGATTTTCCGTGCAGGGCGGGAAGCACAGGGTATTCGAAAGGCCGAGGAAATGGAAGATGCGAAAAATGATGGAAATGTCTGCAGGTATTTTTTGTGATTCCGTCGGCTGTTTCTCGGGAGCCTCTTGTCAGCGAAACCATTAGGGATAAGAATGGCTCTCTTGTATCCAGCAAAGGAGGGCATTTTGAGCGTTAAGCACAATACGTCGAAAAACAATTCAGTGTGCTACCTCCAATCCCGACTGCCGGCCTTAGTCAGAAAGGTGGACTGTGAACATGGAACGCCCTTCAGCCTCAAAAGTGTCCGAGTGTATATCCCTACTCAAGTGTCATGCTTCTGGTCCCGACAACCTTCCACCCGCTCTGTTCAAGGACAGTGGTTAATTCCTCGGACAGTGCCTATTTAGCCTGTTTGTGTCTATCTGGGAGCAACAAACTGTCACAAATAGTTGGAGTGAGTCGGTAATAAACCATCTTCAAAAGGGTCTTCGCAGTGAATGTATTATATTAACCAATGAGTTATCATTCTGATCCGCGTTGTAGCAAAGCTCGATTACTTGGTTCTTTTACACGGCAAACGGTATCAGCGTATGCCCTGAAATGTTTCAGTTCTACAGCTGGGACAACTAGCCAGAGACTAAAGTGGCGCTTGTGTCACCCTCAAACGCCGGATATTCAAGAGCTTAAAGTGAGCGCTAGTTGACTTAGAAGGATAAAGTGATGAAGAAGGTTTTGAATGCAGGAAGTAGCCGCACCCTGTTTAAGCTTAGTAGATAAACTGACCAGAAGAGGACGGTTGTCACTCTTCAAGAACGCCTCTGGAACATAATGCGAAAGTCATCGTAGCCTTAGCGTCCATTATGCTTGCTAGCATACCTTGTGCTGGTTGACAAATAACTTGGGCCGAGAGTACACTGACAATATTTTCGCTTTGAAGCAGGTGCCTGGACGGTGTCACCCTTTCAAACTACAATGCCGATCTTTTTTATCTGAAAGTTTCTGTCGGCCGTCAGCAACTGGGACACGGACTGGCGACTAGAAGAATTTCAATTTTCACATTTTGGTGTGCACATGTAGACGGAAATTTTTAGCCTGATCTTACCAAGTCCACCAGTGCGAGACGAGACTACCCTCTCTAACCATTCGTGCTCAACCTTGCTGTGATACGCTGCTTGAAACCTAAGTGGCTTCCTGGGGGTGAAAATGTTGATGGATCGTTTGTTATCTAGAATTGAATGCGCAGATGATGAGTCCTCCTCGGAGATGTGTAATCAGCCTCGCGGTTTGACATACACTTCACGTTTGCAATGTGTAAAGTGTTGCTTGAGGCTGATTGGAGTCAGTACCAAACCACATGATTTCATACCAACCAATCGACGTGGTGGATAAGTTTATGTAACTTGGCTTGAACAGGTCCATGTGAACTGGTGGTGGACGAGTCTGGAGCCGAGTTTTTACTCTTTTTCTACCAGTCCCGTGTTGAGTAGAAACTATGGAATGGCGGATCATGTGAAGTATTAAATCATAATCAGTAAGCTAAGGCCTACACCTGCTACCCCCATGGATGGAAATCCTGGGACTCGACTCATTAATGGTAAATGACACTGGCAAGGATGGCTCGATCACGCAGTCAGTGGCACGGAGATCATCTCCTTCAGTCCATGACCGTCCTATTTTCCGCCAAATAGCTGGAAGGACTCAAAGTGAATAACCGATTAGTACATCGCCCCCCTTAGCTATTCTTTCGCTGATTTTGCAGTCGGACGAGCAAAATTACTGCGCCTACCAATGATACATGTTCTACGACCGATCAACTGAACGGAACTGCAGAGTGGATTATTGTCGCCAATCTGGACCGGGGTAGCCCAGTAGTCAACACCGTAGACTTTGGTTTCGATGGCGCGGTTTTGAGCCGTGGTGTGGACGTCTTTGAATTGGCCTCTGGTTCCCATCTTGAAATGTTTATTTGGATGTCATTTCATTATGTAAGATGCCTATTGCGCCTTTTCTTGCCTCACTGTCCTCGTATTTGCGTCTCCGACTCACGTTATTCTTCCTTTTAGTTGGCCCGATTGGAGGTCGGTACCTTGTAGGGTATCCGTACTTGCTTTTATCGCACCGTATCAATATGTACGGCTGTACACTTTTTATGTGCAGCAGACAATCCACCTTCTCCCATCCACACATTCGTGCTTTATGTTCAAACATGGCAAATAAGACCCTTCTGGCGAAACTGCGGCGACAAACTGGTTACACGTTTGCAGCGTGCAAGGAGGCACTGTTAAAGCACGATAATGATTTGAACAAGGCATCAGCTTGGCTCACCGAGGAAGCAGTACGAAGAGGGTGGGACAAAGCTGGAAAGCTATCTGGACGTACATTGTCTCAAGGACTTCTTGGGCTCCAGTTTTCACGAACTCATGCAGTTGTGGTGGAAGTTAACTGTGAGACTGATTTCGTTGCTCGAAACGAGCAGTTCCAGAATTTTGTAGCCGTGGCCACAGAGATGGTAATGAGAGAATTTGTTGTAAGTCTACTCCTTAAGTTTTTTTACTCGTTATAGAGTCGTTTTATCTCGCCTGATATTGTGTCGGGTGGCATGGCAGCTTGGCACCGAAAGGGTGTTATGGCTGAACAGTAAGTAATTAATATTGTCATAGCTTTGGGTTTGGTAACTTGCGCTGACAAAATTGCGTGTAAGCAGGTATTGGCGTGCAACTGAGTAGGCTAATCCAAAGAACATGAATAGGCCAGCTACGGCCTGCTGCTGCAATCAATATTCTAATCTTTGTGCCCAAAACCCTGAGTGGGCGATCTGTTTTGAAGCTCCAGATGACAACTCTGATGCATTCTTAAATTACTGTATCACAACGAAACACCGGTACCCTCAACTTCGCCAGGTACGTCACTGACAAAGGTTGATCAGCTTGAGTCCGAAAACTTCACCTGTTTTACGTTCCTCAAAACTGCCTGCTTCTATTAACGAATATACACCCATTTGCAAACTAATTTGGTTTTTCGAGAGACTCACCTGGAGCCCAGCTGAGTCCCTCGTTTGTGATGTTATCAGGCAACTGAATGTGCTGCACCAGGCCGTCTCATGTTTCAGTCGCTACGATATTCGAGGTATCGCCTGAGAACATCACAAACGAGAGACTCAGCTGGGTTCCAGGTAACTCTCTCGAAAAAAACAAGTTAGTTTGCAAATGAGTGTATATTCGCTAATTTCGTGCAATTTGGTTTCAAGTAGAACGTAAGGTTGACGGAAACCCGCGGACCGCGCCTACCTGATGAGCCCCAAAAAGGGCGAAACCGGTCGTGGGCTGTCAACGGATTTTCAGCAACCTTATGAGTAGTACATTACAAAGCTGCCTGCTTCTATGTTGGCTGACTGGTTAAGCAGCATCGTGTCTGGATATTCCGGTTTCACCATCTAACCTTTTGTAGTGACAAATAGAACTGCAAGTTGACCGTAAATTTTCAAATACACAACATTCTCCAGGAGGTACGTTAGAAGCACTTAAATCAGTGTATCACACTCGTCATTATTTACCCAAAGTAATAACGCTTCCTCTACTAGTTTCTCTTGGAGAGTAGCCCGTTCGACGCATGTCACCTTTCGCCAGTTTTAATGGTTAAAACATGGGAAATCCGTAATGAGGCAGTTGGAGAGCGCGTTTTCAGCTGTGTAACGGGTACTTCCATTGAAGAATGTGTCAAGCACCAAAATCTGCGTTGGTTGAGACATGTGTTGCGTATGCCGAACCATCGTTTGCCGAAGAGAGTGCCGTTTTCCATGCCCAATTCAGAGTGGCGTAAATAGAGAGGTGGCCAACCCTTGACTTGGCAGAGTATGAAGGAGATCACAAAACTGTTGAGTGCTGTCGGTGCTACTCGCCTTCCGGAATGGGGACCACGTGATCCTCACTGTGCTTGGTTGGAGACATTACAAGATATGGCTGCCAACCGATGTCAGTGGCGTTCTTGTTGTCAGTTTCTATCCAGATT